GAGGGGTCGCTATGAGTTGGATCTGACTTGACAGCACATAACAATAACAACAACATAACATAAGCCACTTTTTTAATATCATAATATAGTCTGTTTGATGTTCATGTACTCCCCCAGCATGGTGATTTATTATATTTAATCAGCTTTTCAAATTTATCAACCCCTTAAATGTTTCACCTTCCCTTTTAGGAGGTATAGGAGTACTTAAACATGATTATTTTGTCTTTATCTTTACATACAAAGGGTCTTTTGACCCCAGGTTATATACAAGCTAGCTTACATTGTAAAATACTGAACATCTTATGTTTTTAATTATCAGTTCATATGGTATAATAAACATATTTCTTTAGAGTTGAGGAGTTTTTCTTCAGGAAGCTTACTTTGGATGGCGAATGGGTATGATTATTGTTTTTCCCAGATATTTTTTGTTATATGAATGAGCATTTGATTTTATGTTTTAAAATAACAGTATTAATTTTGGGTGATTTCTTCAGAGTGTTTCACATTATATTTTTTCTGAGAAAGCAATTTATGGTTTTCAAATTACATCAAAAAGGGAAACTTTGGTCATGCATTTTATAAAATGAGATCAGATTTATGATAGTGTCTGGTCCACTCTTTTTTGGATTGGTTATGTAAATAATTAGTTAAAATTCAAATCTGCTTGGAACAGTTAGTCCAAGGATATGATGGACCCTGAGACCAGAAGGACTAGATGGTGCCCAGCTACCAAGCCCAGCCGCTCTGAAAGGAATCAAACCTGGAGATCCTGGAGGGAGTGCGAGGGAAAATTTGGAACAAAATCCAAAAACACAAAAATAACTAGAATTACTGATTGGATAGAGTCTGTTGGAACCCCCAAGACTATTGCCCTGAGTTATCCATTGGGCCTAGAATTGGACTCACTCGTGTAGATTGGTTCTCAGCCCAACAGTAGAAAAACCTACATGCAGAACAACTATCCCAAGGCGATGCATCCACCTACTGTAGGGAGACACACCCCTTAGAGCAGTCAGCTCTATGTGAATGCTGCACAAACAGGAGTACATAGTTAAGAAGTTCACAGGGAGTGGGTAGTCACAGGGATGGGAGGGAAGGAGAGTTTGTAATGGTCAGGGATGGTAGACAGGGTGTGAAATCAAATGTACATGAACTGTTGAATGTAAAACAAATTTTGCTCTGTAAATTTGCATTCAAAGCACAATAATTTTTTTTTTTAAAAAACAGAAACCTTAAATCTGCTGATTCGCAGATTTTAAAAAAATGTTTATTTTAGAAAAGAACACAAAATTTGTTTTCATAACCACATTGTTATCATTTGAAAAATAGCAGATTATGTATGAGAAAAATGTCTTCAAGCTTGATTATGAAATCTTTTGTTTTTCTCTAAATTTCATTTGCATTTTTTGAATTTACTCCAAATAGAATTTATTATATTAAAATTTTAAAATTATTTTATTAGAAAAGAAACTATACTCTAGGAGTCTCCTTTTGTATGTTCCTCGAAGAACTACGTACATTTTAAAAATCTACAACACTAGAAATTTATTATTGATTAGGTACTTTATTCTCACTTTACTTTGAGGGTTCAGCTTGGGCTCTTAATAAAATTCTTTGTATGGATTTCAGAAACCAGTCATCAATCGTGGTGCTTAAAAGTGTTAAAAATACTACATTCAGCAATTTTGTCCAATTGTGGAAATAGAGAAGGATTGCTTTAACATTTAGATTTCTTCTATTTTATCTGTTGTTGTTGTTGTTAAGTGCCGTCAAGTCATTTCCGACTCATAGCGACCCCATGCACAGCAGAACGAAACACTGCCCGATCCTGCGCCAGCCCCACAATCCCTGCTATACTTGAT